AAACATCTTTTAAGATACGCACTTGTGATTTGATACAATGTTCCATGTCAACGTAAAGACAAAGATTTCATAGATATTTAAAAGCCATCATACGTTGGCATGTTGGAATTGGTGCACTCCATGTTTGATCTGCCTGGCACGTCACACTAGAGGCTCCGTTCAGTCCGTATCCCTGGTCACAGGTGAACGTCACCACGTCCTGGTAGGAGTTCGCTCCGGCGGGACTCAGAGCTCCATTTGTTGGGGCCGTCAGAGTCGGACATGGCAAAGCTATAAACAAAAATATTCTTAAGAGGAAGTACGGAATACTATGTAACCAGTTGTTAACCTCTCGATAGATAGATAAAACATGTTACTCATTACACAAAATCATATCCAGTTGCTTAAGTAACTGTTTTTGGCGTATCTTTTTACCTGGATGTCTAACCTTCCTTGACGCATGTTACTCATTATCATTTATCAAAGAGTTGAGATAATTTATGCATAGTTTTCAAAGGTAAAATCTTGTCCTTGGTTCTTACGTTGGCAAGTTGGAATAGGAGCAGTCCATGTTTGGTCCGCCTGACACGTCACACTAGAGGCTCCGTTCAGTCCGTATCCCTGGTCACAGGTGAACGTCACCACGTCCTGGTAGGAGTTCGCTCCGGCGGGACTCAGAGCTCCATTTACTGGTGCCGTCAGAGTCGGACATGGCAACTCTAAAACCATGATATATTGTAAGGAGGATTGTCCAGAATACAATATATGGCAATTTTTTAAAAAAGATAAATAATGTTACTAATATATTACCTAATTATCATCTATTAAATAATTATCTGAGATAATTTATGCATTGTTTTCAAAGACAACTCCTTGTTTGAAAACCTGGGTACCTACGTTGACAGGTTGGAACAGGTGCACTCCATGTTTGATCTGCCTGGCACGTCACACTTGTAGCTCCGTTCAGTCCGTATCCCTGGTCACAGGTGAACGTCACCACGTCCTGGTAGGAGTTCGCTCCGGCGGGACTCAGAGCTCCATTTACTGGGGCCGTCAGAGTCGGACATGGCAATGCTGAAACCATGATATATTGTGAAGAGGGTGTACAGTATGTGGTAAATCTCAACAAATAGATAAAACATGTTACCAGTTTGTTACCTATTGCTTATCAAAGATTTGATTGAGATTTTTGCATCGTTTCAAAGGCAAAATCCTGTTTGAAAACCTATGCACTTACGTTGGCAAGTTGGAACAGGTTGTCTCCATGTTTGGTCCGCCTGGCACGTGGTACTGGAGGCACCGTCTAGTCTGTAACCCTGGTCACAGGTGAACGTCACCACGTCCTGGTAGGAGTTCGCTCCGGTAGGACTCAGAGCTCCATTTACTGGGGCCGTCAGCGTTGGACATAGTAACGCTGAAAGACAATAAACATTCTAAAAAGGATTCCCAGAGTACAACGTATGTAGGGAAACAATCCGATTCATCTAGGTCATCATCTAACCGCCATATTCTTATCCGACTTAGTAACTACGTACAATGACAAGTTAGATATTATATACCATTCCAAAACATAACAGTAGCCCAGCCTACTATTTCTTACGAGATTTCCGACTTAGAATACGTTCTGCTAAACTTCTGTAAGATACTTCTCCGCGTCCCTAAAAGTTCAGTTAACGCTGCTGTAATGGGCGAATTAGGTGTATTTCCACCGTACATAGATATCCAGACGCAACTGATCAAATATTGGATAAGACTAAACAACCTCCCTGATGACAGAATAGTTAAGAAAGCATATCACGAAGCCGTTAGACAAGAGCAGGACTGGGTAGTCCATTTACGAGACACACTCTGTAGACATGGTTTCCAAAATATTTGGTTGAATCCCACTACAGATGCCAAATATTTCGGATTCATTTTCAAAGAGCGCCTGAAAGACGGATTTCTGTCTGGCTGGAGGCAAAAGATAAATAGCTTTAAAAAACTTGAAACATATTCAAAAATAAAAAAATAGCTTTCACATCGAGAACTATCTCCTATCTGTTCAAAACAAATTCTTTATAGTTAATACCACAAACTTAAGAATCGGAGCACACTGCCTAGAGATTGAAAAAGGCAGACACAACAATATACCAGCCAGTCAGAGATTATGTCCTACGTGCAAAGATGGAGTTGAAGATCATAGACGAATATCATTTTCTGATGACATGCCCCACATACGACGAAGAGAGACGCAAATTAATGCAGATGATCCGATGTAAGACTACTAAAACATTACCCAACACATCTAGAGATACGTTCCATGTACTTATGTCATGTCCAGACACATTTTCTGTATATATAGGTCAACACATTTATAATACCATGCAAAAAAGACATCTTAGAATAGCTGTATAAGTAGAGTCACTGAATTTTTCATCAACTTCATGTATATAGTGTAGCATTTATATGTAGAACTTTGACATTCCTGGCAAGTAACTTAGTATACACTCTGTTTAGTAGTCATAGACCATGTTTAGTATAATTAGGTACAACTGCTCACTGTACCCTTCATGTGTATAGTTTAGCGTAATGTAGAATGTACATGTAGAGTCGAAATATTCTCTAGCCAGTAGTTTTTTTTATAATACTCTGTCAGATACAATGTCCGTTGACCATATATATAGCATTATGTTAGACACATACCAACTAGTAATCTTATTATTTGCCATACATTGTACCCGTGACAATCGTTGTGCAATAAACTTTGACTTGAATTGTAACAAGTTACAAGTAGCAAGTTTATTACCTCATGCTGCTAAAGTAGCAAAACAACAATTTGACATGCACTGCATTCAATTAAAGGCATAAACTCTGCATGAAATATGAAATAGGTACGTACGTCTGCATGTTGGAACAGGTGCACTCCATGTTTGGTCTGCCTGACACGTCACACTGGCGGCTCCGTTCAGTCCGTATCCCTGATCACAGGTGAACGTCACCACGTCCTGGTAGGAGTTCGCTCCGGCAGGACTCAGAGCTCCATTTACTGGAGCCGTCAGAGTCGGACATTCTAGAGCTAAAGCGATGGCATAAATTTAGTCCGCAATAATTTAAACAATATCTACTTTTTGAAATGGACGATAGGTGTCTTACAGAACCACCAACATGTACTGTTGATGTTTTTCTTTCGAAATGACGCGTCCTTGCAATCTTATACAATATGTCACGAGAAATAGACAGTAAAATTTGATACAACATTGCTTTACAATATTAGTGCTAGATCAAAGTACCTTGGCAGTTTGGAACAGGTTCGCTCCATGCTTGGTTCGCCTGGCACGTTGTCCTCGAGGCTCCGTCTAGTTCATATCCTTGGTCACAGGTGAACGTCACCACGTCCTGGTAGGAGTTCGCTCCGGCAGGACTCAGAGCTCCATTTACTGGGGCCGTCAGAGTCGGACATGGCAACGCTAGAATGATATGATTGTAGATTGGTAAGACACGTTCGAATTTAAAAGGATGAAAAAAAATTATTGGATAGGGAAGTACCATCGGAGTGTCTAGGGATAGGATGAGCAAAGTCCGTCTTCTCAGTAAGTAACCATTTGTTACTCATTTTACCCATCTCAATTAAGGCATCGTTTAAAACACGAAGAACTATCAACACAATGTGTATCATATCTCAACGGTACCTTCACATCTCGGAACAGGGTGACTCCATGTGCCGGTGGCTTGGCAGGTAGCAGCCGTGTCGCCAACGAGTCGGAACCCCTGGTTACAGGCGAACTGCACCACGTCCTGGTACGTGTTGGCACCGCTTGGATCAAGACTGCCGTTTTCCGGGGCCACCAAGGTGGGACATGTGACAACTAGAATGACAAAAGACGCCTGCCTTGCAAAAAAACTGTGGTTATATCACAAATATCAAATCACCAACAGAAGACTGAAATGGCTTGGCCATGTACTCGGGATGGACGCCTCAAGAATACCTAAACCAGTCTTAAATTGGAGACCTGTCAGTTAAAAGAAAAAAGATGTAGAAACAGAACCACTTGGAGAAGACATGTCACGGATGACCTGGCAATCATGGGGCTATCCTGGCGATAAGTAAAGATAGACCCAGATAGCTAGAAAGAAAAATTCATTGCCTTATGTCTCGCAAGGGATGAAATAATCGATCCCGGTTGAGGAAATAATCGATCACGGCTACGTTCGACGCACCTTGACAGGCCAGGCCGTCTCCCACGAACCCGAGGACGCAGGCGCACTGAAACGTCCGGCCAAGGACGGTGCACGTGGCCATGGCATGGCACGGGGACGGGTCGCACAAGTTGCTACCTGGAGTAATGGGACAACAAAGGGAATTTGACTTAGTGAAATCATTGAAATGTAATAATATGCTGAATACTCGATATAAAAGCATACAGTCGACTTGTCAGCCTGGTGGCTCTCCGATCTCTAAGACACTAAGAGTGTGCCCACCTGCCCGGCGCACGCTAGGCTCTTCAACGGAAAGGCAGTAATTCGAAAAGCCCGAAAGATCGACTGCCAGAGCGAAGGCCCTGTGACAACAATCCGGAACCAAAACAGTCCAAGTCGACCAAAGAGAATGGTCATCAGACTAACTTCCGATGGAGAACATATGGACTCTACCCAGAAATCCAACTTACTGTCGCAGATGGACTGCCCAAGCCTCTGTGCGTGAATGGCATCCGCGAGATCTCGGAAATCCTCTACCCTCAATACTCTGTCCTGATCGCCAGCAATGTCCAGCAGCGTCTGGTCGGTGATGTCCAAAACGTGCCCAACGCCAACTGCGAACACCGTCACGCCTTGCTGCCTCAGTCGTTGTGCCGGGGCCGCGACGTCATCGGCGGGGTCATCGTCCGTCAGGACGACCAGAATCGGGAGAACGTCGTCTCTTGCGCCGTTGGATTGGATGAAGGAGTTGGTGCGGACGTAGTCCAGGGCCTCGCCCGTGTACGTCCCGCCTCTGTCGTAGTCGATGGCGCGCACGGCCGCCACGAAGTCGTCCCTGTTGTCGAACTCGTTGAGGCGAACCTCGGTCACCTGCAGGCCGCTGTTGCTGAAAGTGACCACTCCGATCCTGGTGGCGTCTTGAGCAAAGTCAAAGTTCTCGGCGACGGAAATGACGAACTCCTTGGAGGTCTCGAAACCGCCAGACCTCACGCTTTCCGAGCTGTCAATCAGGAACACAATGTCTACCTGCTGCTCGCATTGATCTGGAACACGAAACAAAGTAGTTATCGTTATTTCTAAAACGTTTTATTATGAAAATAATTAATGTACGTCTAATCATCATTTGTGAACAAAGAAGTGGTCATCTTTTTGAAAACGTAAGTCTGAAATGTCTACTTTCATAAATCGAACCCTTATAATTTATTAAAATTCACACCGTTCAAACGTAATTTCGACGGTTTTGTTGTAGAATAACAATTTTGTCCTCATAGTTGAACTTATATTTCATCTACTGCATTTCGGCCTTAGGATGGTTAGGCTAAAGTTGTAGGTAGGTAAGGATGCAATTACTAAAATAATCACCTGTTGTAGACGGCGTTGTCTGGGAAACAACTGTAAACAAAAAGTAGTGATGAAAAGTTAATATTATAAATAAATGGTATTAATACAAGCAGTCGCAATGCCTTACATAGTCATGACATCATCGCAATATATTATACAGTACTCGCTAGCTCTTCATTTAATATCGTTATCGATTTTACTTATCCGAAGAGTCGCAGTAAATATGAAAAATCAGAAAAGGCTAGCTACAGAAAACAATATTTCAAATAATTTGGGAATACGATGATCCTTCATATCAGCATATAAGATACCAACACTTGAATTCCCAAGATTTTTATTAGTTTATTCTATTATTCTAATATTCTTATATTTGTTACATCCAGTTTAGGCTTTTGAGCACACTTCATTGACCATGAAGGCTAGCAAATTACCATTGCGCAAACCCAACACAGACTCGCGCTCTTTTTACAGCTCATCGAAGTCTATGTATGTGAACTATTTGCATTGCTGTGACGTTGGTGTTCAGGCAAATTCATGGGAGGGTGTGACAAATGTGCGTGTACATTCTACCTGCACTACCTCACCTGTGGTCAACTCATTGATGTTTAAGAACATTGTTGGCATAACAACAACAAAAATCTTAGTACTATGTATAATAGTATCAAAATCGTCTCAAATTAGTACTTAATGTCTCGACACATATGGACGTATATGTATCTCATCCATTTGAAAGGCTATATATTGAAAATAAAAATTGTACGGTACCTGACATTGGCAAAATGGATACAATGTAGCCCTTTGGGTACAGTAACGTTACCTACATTTTGAGATTAGAATCTTTTCAATCGAATATACTATTAGAATTCAGCACTAGTCTTGTTAACAGAGAAAACAGTCAATGAGTAAACGATATCCTGGCTGCCATCCAATAACTGATACATATAGCCATCCTCCATCACCTCAGGCGTTTCAATGTCGGCAGTTTCCTCACTACATAATGTTTTTAGATAACTGCCGTTTTTTTCATACAGTTCCCGTTTTAAGTCATAAGAATTTGCCATTTGTGACAAAAACTGAGGCAACAAAATGACTCATATGCATTTCAAGAACTACTATGCAGAATGTCCTACATGAAGATTTAGCTATTTGTTCTTACTGGGCGATTTGATTAATCATATTCAAATCACCACACAATGATTAGAGTCACGAGCAGATGTCACTTTGTCTAGCTCTTGGTCTAAACTTAAACACAAAACTCAAATTCTCTGTCGTGCAAATTCTCTATTTGTAGCCGATCGCTGCCTTGTCGTTGCCTTTCTTATTTAACTCGCTCCTTACAATGTGTGTAATTCGGCTACCATTTATATTCAACAACGACATGGATCATTACGCTTGACCTGTTATTCCGTAAACGTGGTTCTCTGATTTGGGCGTAATTATGGGTAGTTTAACATACTACTGAGTACTCAGCGTTCACATGTACTGACTCACTCTTCCCACTTCATTATTATACACCCTTCCCGGCGACGTTGGACGACCGATCGACTAAAATCTTATTTTTCAAACGAACCTCATCAACAAAGAAATTATTGTGGGAGTTGTGTTTATTTCGTTGTTAAAAACAATCTCTTCTACTATATTCAAGTTATAAATTCATAGGTCATGCAATCTAATTTTGGGCGGTGAACGGTCGGTTAGCTGTCTCCATCTAGGGGCAAGGAGTCTAAGTTAGTGAGCCTAGGAGGAGCTGTCAGATATATTCTGCACAAATGCAACGAGATAGAGCTTCGGACAGACTCCATAAATCTAAGTAACGTAACGGTTGTAGCATGACCTCTACGTCCTTGCCAATGAACGATATTCCTGCCGAAATAAATGGCGCCAATTGATAATTTCTTTCAGTTCGTTAACGGACATAAGTGGGTGAATGTCAACGGCCGCAGCCTTGTGCGTTAGTAACACAGATCCGCTGTACGTACGTGTAACAATGACTTCCTTCAAGGTCACTCACAGGTCTGTTCACCTTTCTCACGGTGGTAACGGCAAATGTCGGGAAACCATACAAACGAAATCAAAGTCTAGAATGGCTGAAATTTCTACACTCTGTGTTTCTGTGCCGTATGCTCAAAAGTATATACAACATTGTGAAAATTTGAAATATTCCGTCGAAAATTGAATATTGCCATGCTAAAACCGTGCAGTCAGAGACGAGATCGTAACGATCTTGGTCTAAACCAAAGCAAGCAGAATGACCAAATTTTGGGACATAAACACACCTAGATCAGTGAGTTCAACCTCACAGGATTGTTGATCGCTGGCCAGCTTCCAAGTCTCACAGAGGCCAGGCAAATGGGACAAAGGCCTCTGAACTAAAATCCCTTGGGATTTGTTGTCTGCGTGATGCTTAAAAACAGCAAGAAACTACTAATTTGACGACCACTTACCGGTTTTGAAATGGACGGTTAAAAAGATAGAAAGAAGTAAAGAAAGATGTTTCCTATCTCGCGCCATCTTTCCTCCAGACGAGGGCAAAATCTGAGGTCGAATTCCTTCCGACGAAGCGCGATCTTCAATTTCTCGGTTTCTGAGTTCAACTTCTTCCAGGGGAAACGGAGACAAATCCAAAGTGAATGTGCCTCCTTGCGGGGCAAACTCGACTGAAGTGACAACGTATACGTAGAGCACAGAATTTAGGCGTTACCTACTGGGTCAACGGATGACGTGATTCAAGGTGTGCCTGAACCGAGCAAATTGCGCATAATGTTGCATCAATTATTTTCGTCAATTAGCCTCTATAGTCTAGCTAGGTATACAAGTTCATTTGACCGCATATCCGACAACCGTGCGAAGTGAGTTGCAAAAACACCCTACCGCAATCGTGGAAAGATACAATTTATTTACTTAATTAAGATACAAATGATTTGATGCGTCTGTTGTGAAGTTAGACATGACTCAATTGTCCAACAAAATGTTCCCACGAATAGAGATTTAATATCCAATTGTAGCTGTCATTCCTCGATAGAACAAAAGCACTCTCTTTGCTAAAAAGAAAATATGCCGTGATTTTGGTGTCCCGAAAATTGCTACTTAAACTATTCCGTCCCAAGCCAAGTTGTTTGGCAAGGTTGAAAGGTAACAATACTTATAATAAGTAACGATCCTCAGTTTACTGAGCTGTAATACCTATCTTAAATACATATCTGTCACTGTAACACAGTCATCAAAAGGGCATGCAGCCAGCGAAGAAAAGCGAAGAAAATGGACCTGGCTCAAAGTTAAACGCTGCACGCCGTAATGTTAGATAAATACAGGGAGTGGCCTTTTCTGGCCATTAAATCAACCTCAGTTATCAATAAGGGCGCAGTCATTGATGACTACCTGAGTAGTCCTCTTTGGTCCAACAACGCCTTACTAGCCGCACTGAAATAAATCAGAACGTACAATTTAAAAACGTGTACGCGTATTGAGCGAATTACGTACTTGTCAAGTGCGTACATGTTTGACTTTGTGTTGTTTTTGGTCAGATTTGGGGTAAAACATCACACTGAAGGTACAATAGCTACTGAGGGGTTACATCGTGGATCTCCCTGACAAAGCATGTCATGGATTTAATGGGCCCGGGTTCCCCTATTTTGCTATAACATTTCTCATTCAGTCATGTACACAAAGACAACCCTGTTCTTTTTGTCAGTTGACCTTTATTAAGCCCTCAATGGTCTATATTCGTTGTATTGTGACCCTTCGCGTTTGACCGTGCGGAGAAGTGTCGACATTCGTTTTAGCCCCTGTCCCGGTTCCGACGGTCTTTGTCTGGTCATGTCTCAACTGGTTTAACTTTGTAACTGCTCATTGCATCAGATGTTTAGTTCTGGTGTACGATCTACCCGCAGTTCGGCAAAGTCACACCAAGTATAAATCGAACCTGGCTTGGCCTCTTAGACCGGTCACATTTCCAAGCCGGGGCCCGGCCGGGCAGTCTTATGAAAGGGAAAGTGTGATATAAAAGACAAAAAAGCACAAAAAGTTGAAAGAATTAATAACAGGAACAATTTGAGTATCATATTGATATAAATTGTTGACTTTTCGTTAATCGAAACAGCCCAGCCGGACCCCGGTTTAGAAACGTGACCTAAGCATATAACATCTGTTACACACCATCCAAGGCCATAGTTGGCACCCCGACCATTGTTCATCGTCGGACCTCACTCCCAACTATGGGATTCATTCCTCTCCTTGCTTGATTCCACCCAGATTTGATAAGCCTCCTTGATCCGACTGTTCGTCAAATCGGATATGTGACCTTACGGCGAACCTCAGTGAGTCATCAGGCGGCGCTTTTCCATGACGTCACTTCCGGTTGCATCGCGGATTGCGGAAGCGAGTTTGTACAAAACAAGAAGCGATGGAAGTGTAGAGGAAGAACACAGACGATTTACCGCAGATCCAGGGTCGGCCCGTGATTTGGGGGCTTACTTTGCGTCTTCTGGTGGTAGTAATGTTGCAAAGAAGCTGCGATGGGGCGGCTGAAGCTCTTCGAGATCGCCCTGGACGGCGATAAAGCTGTGTACGAACCGACCGAAGTTGTGAGCGGCCATGTTGTTTTGGAACTGCGGGGAGAGATGCGACTCCGCTCGCTGAAGGTGGACATCCGCGGGCTCGCTAAGGTACACTGGACGGAGTCCCGCGGCATGGGCACGGAGACGGGCTCCTACACACAACACTTCACCGACGAACTGGAGTACTTCCACATGGAAGAAACGCTGCTGGGAAACGGAACAGGTGACTTCAGTTCAATTCAATTACTGTATATTGTTCTCCACAACAATGACGTTATAACGTCAACCCACAAACTCCGGCCAAGCGCTGAATAAAGCTTTCTTTTCTCGTCGATAGGTCTTACGGGGTTTTCACCAAACATTTCGACTGGAAGATTGCGTATCGTTATCGTACTTTGAGATTTGTATTGGTCCAGTCGCCTTGGCTAATTTCTCCATATGTTCATAAAATATATTATGAAATGGTCAAAAATTTATCAGACCAATTGTAACATTACAAACTTTTTAACCAATACATATGCAAACTAAACGCCGTGTCGATCGATTTAACGTTAGCGTCACGTTGCTAAGAATTCGATTGCATCATGTAGGTTTGAATAGCGTCAGTGTTTTATCAGAATTCAGCCCTGGACGTTTGCCAACAACAGACTGATCATGATAACATATCACATTTCAATCGTACCTGACATCCCGGCGTTAGTGTGAAAGAAACCAGAGTACAATGTGCAACAGTATATAGGAGCGATCGCCAGGCAAAAAGTGAATGACGGTTGGCCGATTTGCCTACCAATAATTTCACATATGTATAATTTCCGATAATTTGCATATATATGATGTAAAAAAAATATCGCTTGTATAGTCATTGTGTCCCTCCAATACCTAAATTATAAAAGTATGTTTCAGATATTGTATAATCTGCCTAAAGATACTTACAGAGATGTTCCGGCATATCCTAGATTTCTGGTCACTCTAAAGTAGATTTTATTTGTTTTGGACTCTAAATGGACTGAATGACCGTGACCTGTTAGGAGAGACCAAGGAGCTTTAAATTTGATTTTTAACTTCCATGGAGATGTTTGTCGAGACTGGCTGTCACCTCCTAACAAGGATGGACTGAACTGATGTCAAAATGTTACACTTATCAGAAAATAAGTACATTTGACTACATGTACTAATAGATGGCAGGTTGTGAAAACACACTTCCACTAGTGGTACATTTGCAAATACAGTTTTATTCTGCTTCAGACTCTGAATCCGAGGCAGAGGACGACCAGCCACTGCTGACTGCAGGAAGACACCAGTTCTCCTTCAGTTTCCAGCTCCCAGATGAGTGAGTCTTACATAACCTCATTTTTAACCACTTTGTGCACCTCTACTTAGCCCAGTGTGGCAAAATTGCACAATAAAGGTCCTCTATAGCTGGGCCATGATAACATTTGATATAATTTATAAAGTCAGTAGGTGTTCCAGCCTGTGTGATATGTTTTCAAGGTTATCACACAGGCTTCCAAAAGTTCCGTACAATAATTCGAACATTTCTGCATGTGCTGTGTTTGTGCTGCTTTTGAAAATTCGAATACTGGATTTGTATTCATAAACATATGTTTTGATGATCCCAGAATGTTGTTGTTTTTGTCACAGGCGACTCCCAACATCCTTTGAGGGTAAACACGGGAGCGTCCGGTACTGGCTGAAGGCGGAGATCGACCGACCCTGGACGCTACCGTCCAAAGTGAAACGCGACTTCACAATCATCGACCACATCGATATCAATGACACATACCACCTGGTACGTTCAGTTTCTGAAAAATAATTAGAGTAAGACTAATGAAAACATTAAACTAAAAGTTGTACAAAATTGACAGCATTGATTATTCAAATTCTCATTGATACATGTACTTCTTGTTCCCAGACTCCGACAGGTGGAAGCAGGGAGAAGACCTTGTGTTGCTGGCTGTGCACATCTGGACCTGTCAGTCTGAGTGCAAGAACAGACAGGCGAGGGTACTGCCCAGGTTAGATTATCCTATCTCTCAAGTTAACTTACTGTAACAGTTGTTTTTTGTCAAAAACTCACACTAAGCACTTTACTTAGGCAAGGCTGCTACCAAAAATTGTGTCTTTTGCAGTTTTGATGCAAGGCTTTTGAGCTATATTTCATGAATGTACTCCTGTGCAATGGTACATAAATTGCTTGGGAGATGAACAAAACTCCTGACTTAGACTTTAAAGTAGAAAATGATAAACTATTGCTGTAAAGTTTTCAAAACAGCCTGGTCTCATAAAAAACCTTAGAAATAGATACCTTGTGATCTATCAGCTATTACAACTTCATGCTTTTTTGTTCAGGAGAATCCATTGCAATATCGGCAGAGTTTGAGAACCACTCTTCACGACGGATGATTCCCAAAGCAGCGCTGTACCAGACTCAGTGTTACAGGGCAGGCGGGAAGACGCGAACGGTACGAGAGAACGTGGCGCACATGAAAGGCGAGGCCTTGTCTGCGGGGGACACTGTACAGTGGGAGAACAGACTACTGCCAGTGCCTGCCCTCACACCCTCTATCATCAGCTGTAGTATCATCACTGTGGAATACTCTCTCATGGTGAGTTATGCCTACATTACAGAGCTCAAATAACTTCCCATCTACACATGTGCAAATCGCAATCAAAAGGCATGCAAAATGTGATAAGAAGCTGTACATTTGTTGATTTACAAAGTCTGGATTATTCATATGGGAACACGTTGCTTGTTGAGTATGATAAGTTAGTGAAACAATGGTAATTTTGTAAGTGGTTCGCATTACTCCCTATGAACACCTGAGGTTGTCTCAATCGAAAGAACATAAAATTCTGTCATTAGGATTTTTTCATTGCTGTTTTTTGTTTCCTTCAGGTGTTCCTGGATATTCCAGGTGGGATGAACCTGATCTTGCACCTGCCCATCGTCATAGGAACCGTACCTCTGAGCAGACAACCCTACCCCATCCACCTGTACCCCATGGCTGGCATCTCAACACCCTTCGCTGATGGTGAGAAATGATAGAAGTACACTTGTTTAACTTTTGTTCCAACACAAGGAATGATGAATGTTATATCCACTGTTCATGTATTGTAATCTCCCTCTCAGCCCCTCCTAGTTATCATGATTGTTACAGTTCTTGTTGATTTGTTGTATATCTTCCTCTCACCCCCCTCCTAGTTTTGAAGAGTGTTTTATCTCTTGTTAATGTGTTGTATATCTCTGTCCCAGCCCTCCTAGTTATGATGAGTGTTACAGTTCTTGTTGATACATGTATGTTGTGTATCTCCCTTTCAGCCCTCCCCCCCCAAGTTATGTTTGAAGTGTTTTATTCCATTGTTGAATGTGTTTGTATATCTCTGTCCCAGCTCCCCTAGTTATGATGAGTGTATGGCTGGCCTGCCCTCCCCTGACATCCCTGTGGCCGCCCCACCAGGCAGAGTCACCCTCAACCCCGGCGAGCCTCCTCCCAACTACTCACAGGTAAACCACGTTTCTACTTTTCAAGGTGTTTCAAAACATGTAGTGATGGAATTAGCATTCATTTTCTGTGAAGTATAAGATGCTGCAGCTGTGATACTAGTACTTGGTGCATGCATGGTTCTGCATGGTTTGCAGGGTATAGTTTCATTTCTCAGATATGCACTTTCAGAAGTTTGCAAGTATATAATTCATTTTATTCTGTCAGGAACATCAGTATGAACTTCAAGCCTGACTAAGGCATTGTACATGATGCTGCAAGCAACTGGCCCTCCATTGGTCAGATGGAGACCCAATCACCCCCTGACAGCAAGAGATTGTGTAATAAAGGCTAACTGTACAGTATTGAAGATTATTTTTGTAGGTTAAATGCAACAGTAAATTGTATAACAATGCATTGAAACAATTGTGCTTAATTTGTCTTGTTTGATTGTTTGCTTCCTTCAGGTGGAAGCTGCATCCTAAGAAAGTCCAGGTCAGCTAGTGCTGGTTTAGACATGGAAGTAGAAGTGGAGACAGTGGTGGGAACTGCACACATGTATGCCTTGGAGAAGTGAGGCACTTACTATAACCACCAGTCAACAGTAGCTTTTTATAACCTTGCAGAAGGCTGAAGTGTTGCTTTATGATTGTGCTTTACACCATTGTGGCTTTTATCAGATTAAATTATTACACTACATCTAAGTGTATACATGCAATATGTAATAGATGATAAATACGAATGCCCCTTTTATAATGTTTGATTTGTCAGCATAATCAGTGCATTAATCACTCTTCTGTTAATGGTCAGCATAACTTATCACAATTGGAACTATAATATTATAAATAGTAAATATACAGACAGGGAAGAGCCCACCTGGGCTTTGTTGTTTGTGGGCTTGATGTGAGATGTTCCAAAAACTTCACAGTATCTGAATGCTGTCATTTATTTTTCATTGATTGATTAATGTGGTATTCTATGTGTTACCATGGATGTGAAGGCACAAAATATTTTTGTCTTATCTGGACTTCACTTTGCTGTTTTTTCCTAACCTTCCCCACGAGTCAGTCCGTACCCAATATGTAATACTCACATTTGCAGTGGGTACAGTTTTAGAAGTGTATGACACTGTGAAGTTTGTTTACTAACTGCCTGTTGTAACTACTTTCCAAGGAAACTCTTAATTGTTGCATAAAACAAGTGTTTGTTTCTTTGTTAAAGGTATGCAAAAGTTAAGTAACCATTTTTGTTTTGAACTGAGGTGCTTGTTTACACATGGTTTATGGTTGATAGTTCATCTGTGTTAGTATTTATTTTGAGACATTTTCCAACACAAGAAAAGTTATGTAAACCCCAACATTTTCTTGCATTGGATATCACACTTAAATCCTGCATATGATCAGAATATGGGTTTATGTAGACCACAGCGAATGTCCCCTCTGCCTTAAATTGAGCTTTGCAAAAGATTTCTAACAAAAATGCCATGGAACAAAATGTATTTATTCTAGTCAAACTACTGGCAAGTCTTGCTAGCCACACATGATGTGTTTCTGTCAATGTGTGAAAGGTAAGACTGGGATTTTTAACCAAGGGGTGGGGTGGGGGTCAGTAGCAAAGTTTGATTTCCTCAGTGTAAGTTTTTATAAATGTATTTGGTATTTGTAATCAGAATGCTGTCACACTACAGATCCTGATACATTTTCTACTAAAGTCTTGTCTGCTTCCCTCACAAATAATTACATAGGAATCAGCCAATGGGAATTTAGACTCTAGAGACAGAGACAAATCACAACTACGAATTATGGTAGCCAACTACCTGTATGCTTTTATATGGGAATCTGACATTTTATAGGAAGAAAACATTACCAGTTATCTGGTGGTTGAATGATACAATGCAGACTAAACATATTCCTGTAATAGGCTGGCAGACATGTTTTTCACCACAAGCCATAATTTATCCTTGCAAAAGGTGCCCTAATTTTACATGTCATTAATAGCAAGATGTGTGACTTAATTTCCTTAATCATATAGAAATAAATCTTTTGTTGGGAACATCAAAAACAATTAATACACATAAAGATATTTGGGTTAACCAACCAACCATTGCACAGCCACATGTATATACTAACTACATTCACATATAGTATGGAGAGTGACAGAAAATCTGTTTTGAAAAGTATGTTTTTGTTTGCTTATGCAGGACGAATTTCTAGGGTTGCACAAAAGTTATGTTTCAAAGTTTTGAATACAAAACATTGCACAAGAACACTGCCACAAAAATAATTAACAAGAAGAATAACTACTAACTACTAGTATCAAAGAATTGATTTGTAGTAATATTTTCAAAAATTCTATTTTAAAATTTTACCCTTGCCACCTATGAACCTTAGCATACTTATTACATAAAATTATGCAATTCTTATTTTCAGTGAAGGTTGGAATGACTTTTGTAAAGTTTGACTATCTACTATATCTCCTCGAGATTTCCATGTTACAGTATGCAAATTGCACATTGCAATCTTTTAGCAGCAAATGAATGAAAACAGTTTTGATTCTATCATGATCTTCTGTGGATATCCTGGTAAAAACAGGAATTTCGTTTTTTATACATTGATTTATTAGGTAACAAAGATGTGTGAATTTTGCTTCATTGAAGGTAAGAGTTATCATTGTGTATGTGTAAATATTCATGTTAAGATTCAACTGCAATGACAACATAATACTAGTAAGCCGATTGAGCACGTCAGCAGATCAGAATGTACTGCGCCTGCAC